TGAAGACTGAAAATTAGGGTTTCTTACCTAGAGTGTGTTTGTTATTGTGCATCCAGACCTTCAGCACGTGTCTCTTCACACAAGTTTCAGCGCAGAATTGTTCCACGGCAGCTTCGTCGTGCTTCTGAATTCTCCACCCTAGCTTCTCCGCAAATGCCAGCATCTTATCCTTCTGCTCCTGCGTGAATTTTGTCCTAAACCTCTTCTTCGTTCCACTGCCGCTACCACCACCACCAAAACCGCCACCTCCGCCGCCGCTCGAGCTGGGGTTTGACATGTCCTCCTCTTCTCTACTGAACACTCCTCCCGAAGCCAGCGGTGGTAGAGCCAAAGGCCGATGCTGCGACACCGGAGTGGTTAACAGGTGGTGGGGGTGGAGGTATCCCGCGGAGGAAGGTGGTGGCCCGCGGTGGTAGTAAGGGGAGAATTGGTGGTGATACTGAGGATGCAGCGGTTGCGGCTGGGGCTGCGGCTGCGAGCGCAGTTGGTAAGAGCTGATTTCGCCGTCGATCTCCTTGCGGTGAAAATTGCGGTGGCAATTACAGGCCGCGCAAATTACGGCCTCCAGCGTGCCGTCCTCTCCTGCGGCCAAGAACTCGCAGCAGCCATCGACGGCGTGACCGCCGATGCTGACGGCATGATTCTTCTGACATTCTCTGTATCTGCTCGTCCCCGCGGAGCCGCCTTTGCGACCGGAGTTAACGGTGGCCGGAACTCCCTCAGCTGCGCTCATTTTAGACCTGGGCGCCGCGTTTCCGAAGGAATCGTAACCCGGCGCCGCCACTGAGAATCCCATTTCCTCTTCCTCCTCCTCTTCCTCTTCTTCTTCCTCCTCCTGCTCTTCGTGGTCGTCAAATTCCATATCGCTCTCCACTTTCGTAAAAGCAGAATAAAATAAATTTACTAATAAATAAATAAATTTTTGTGTTTTATTTGGGATGTTTGGTGTGTGCTGGAGATGGGAGTAGCAGAGAAAGATCTACAATCAAGTATTGTAGCAGAGAGAGAGGAAGAGCCGAGTCAATTGAATTGAATGATGAAGTCATAACCCACCGCAATGGATAATAAGTATAAGTAAGATACTCCTGCTTTTCTTTTATCATTTTATATTACTCCTAATAAATACTAATTATTAATTAATTAATTGAATTTAAGAGATTTTATATTAAGATAGTAATATTAATTTGTTTGAAGTCGCAGTTGAAGATAAGAGAGGAGCAGAGGATGTGGTCATCAATGACCCGTCTGCAGAAAAAGAGGTGTCTCACTCTCGAAAGCCTTTCAAATACTTGCCATTACATTAACATCTGCATCTATCATCTTCACACCACATTCACTTTTACTTTAACCCCCTTTTTTTATCTTTTACTTTTTCCATATACATTCTTCCAATATACTTTTTTTCAGTAACACCAATATTTTTACAATCATAACAGAACAAAGAAAATAATACATCATATATTTTGGATTTATTGGACATGTAAAAAGACACATGGGACCTACCCGTTTTTCAAAGAGGTACATTGAAAATACTAATTTTTACTAGAAATAATATTTTATATGAAATCTTTTTTTTTTAGTTTTTTTTTTATTTTAAATCCAT